ACTCTGGAGCTCTCTCCCCCTGGGCCTGAGATCAGTGGACTCAGAGGTCTCCTTTAAAATTCAGCTGAAGACTCACTTGTTCAAGCTGGCTTTTGTATGACCTTCTTCACCACTCTCTCCTTGTTCTGCTCTCCCCACCTATTCCACCTTCCTCAGGATCCACTGATTTCGCTCTTTCCTTTTCTGTCACGATCTGCCCCTGCCTTCCTGACTGTGTCCATCTCCTGCCTGATTAGTCCCTATTGGTTTCACCTGCCCCTTGCTAGCCTGCCCATGTGTTCCTCATTTTCCCCAGTGTATTAATACCTCCCGTCTTGTTATGTCCTTTGTCAGATCATTGTTTGTTTCAAGTCATCGTTGTGTTTGTTCCTGCCATTCCCGTTCTGTAATTAAATTCATTTTTATTTTGTCCGAGCCTGCATCTTTGCCTCCTGAGCTGCTCCACCACACTTGGTCCATCATCTCCACACCCACAACGTGACAGAATGATCTGACCAACCTGGACCTGTGGTGAGCACTGATACATCTCCCTGGAGGATTAATTTTTTACTTTTTCTCCTTTTAGCGGAAGGAGATTCGGACTCAAGGTGTTTGGCGCATCCTACCTGTTTTCCGGGCTGGTTGAACCATTGAGTGGGTTTCGACGCGTCCAGTTTGTTCCCGTGGTGGTCAAACCCTTCTCCTCTCCTGCTTTCTGCCCCCGTCCTGTTTTTTCTCATGGAAGCCGTGGATCCTGGAGCTTTGAGGGAGTTACACCCCCTACGCACGCCATCATTCTCCGGGGTGGTAGGGCTGGTCTCCCCGCTCTTCTCCTGCTTCCCTGCACACGAGCCTCTGCCTGAGACCCAGCGAATCGTGCTGTGCACCTGCTCAGACCGGTTGTCGAGTACCTGCCACCGATCCTGGTTTCCTCGCGTCGCTCCTACAGATCATCTACTTCCTGCTCCACGCCTGTGGGGCCTATGCCTGCAGGTCTCATGCTGCTGCAGCCTCTACAGGGTCCCACGCCTGCTGCTGCAGTTTCCGGCTGAGCCCTACGCCCGCAGCTGCAATTTTTTTCCTGTGTCAAGTCAAGTCAAGTGTTCCTGCGTCAAGTCAAGTGTTCCTGCGTCAAGTCAAGTGTTCCTGCGTCAAGTCAAGTGTTCCTGCGTCAAGTCAAGTGTTCCTGCGTCAAGTCAAGTGTTCCTGCGTCAAGTCAAGTGTTCCTGCGTCAAGTCAAGTGTTCCTGCGTCAAGTCAAGTGTTCCTGCGTCAAGTCAAGTGTTCCTGCGTCAAGTCAAGTGTTCCTGCGTCAAGTCAAGTGTTCCTGCGTCAAGTCAAGTGTTCCTGCGTCAAGTCAAGTGTTCCTGCGTCAAGTCAAGTGTTCCTGCGTCAAGTCAAGTGTTCCTGCGTCAAGTCAAGTGTTCCTGCGTCAAGTCTTCCTGCGTCAAGTCAAGTGTTCCTGCGTCAAGTCAAGTGTTCCTGCGTCAAGTCCAAGTGTTCCTGCGTCAAGTCCAAGTCAAGTGTTTCCAGTCAAGTCTTTGAGTCCCTGTCCCCCGTCAAGTCAAGTGTTTCCAGTCAAGTCTTTGAGTCCCTGTCCCCCGTCAAGTCAAGTGTTTCCAGTCAAGTCTTTGAGTCCCTGTCCCCCGTCAAGTCAAGTGTTTCAAGTCAAGTCTTTGAGTCCCTGTCCCGCGTCAAGTCAAGTGTTCCCAGTCTCCTGTGTTGTGTGGCCTTGTGGGCGTCTGGTATCCGCACCTTAAGGGGGGGTACTGTCACGATCTGCCCCTGCCTTCCTGACTGTGTCCATCTCCTGCCTGATTAGTCCCTATTGGTTTCACCTGCCCATTGCTAGCCTGCCCATGTGTTCCTCATTTCCCCAGTGTATTTATACCTCCCGTCTTGTTATGTCCTTTGTCAGATCATTGTTTGTTTCAAGTCATCGTTGTGTTTGTTCCTGCCATTCCCGTTCTGTAATTAAATTCATTTTTACTTTATCCGAGCCTGCATCTTTGCCTCCTGAGCTGCTCCACCACACTTGGTCCATCATCTCCACACCCACAACGTGACATATTCACTCTCTCTCTATCTTTCTTAACTTTTTTTTCATCACAATTGTCTATTTTTTGCTCATTTTAAATATATTTTTAATCTTTTTCTAAATTCTTTTTTATATTTTTACATTTTTTGTTTTTTTGTGAAGCGCCTCATGATTTTTATCTTGAGAGGCGCTATAGAAATTATATTTTCTTTTGCTTCTTCTTCTTCTTCATCATCATCACTATACTGATGCAGATTCATGATATCTGTTGCTATGGCAATGCAAATTACTAACAAAAACGCCACAAAAAAACCTCATTGGAATGAATTTAAATTGCCTAAAATGGAGCCAAAGGCTGTTTCTGAGATTGGCCTATCAGTAAATTTTAACCTAGAAACACAGTTCCCATTTCAAATTGGTGACAAGACAACGAACTCCAACATGTTGAAGCAGCTCTTTTGTAACTAGGTTTGGTATAACCACAGATTTGGGTTTTTTGGTGTATTTGTTGAAGACCACTTATCAACCATTATCCAGGTACAACTTTTACAACAAAATAAGGACCGCAAGCAAGCAAGCAACCGTCCATCAGTCAAACTAGTCCATCCAAGCATAGATCCAAGCCTCCCTCTCAATTCTTGATGAACTGAAAATCTGGAGGGAAAAATGTCAGGTGGTGATGAGGGGAGAAGCAAAGTAGAGACACTCAGCGAGCCTCTCTCTCGCTCTCTCTCTCTCTCTCTCTCTCTCTCTCTCTCTCTCTCTCTCTCTCCCTCTCTCTCTCTCTCTCTCCTCACACACACACACACACACACACACACACACACACTATCTCAGCTGTTTTCATATTATCTTACAATTTTTAACTAAGAATTTAATGTTTTAAGCTCACTGTTAGACTGTGATTTTTACAGTACCACACATCTTACAGTAAAAAGCTGCAAAACAATTTTTACAGTTAATAACTGTAATTCCCATTGCATCATGGGAGTTTTCAGTCACGTGGTACTTTGTTTACAGTTTGTTATTGTAGTTTTTGAAATTACACTAAGCTACTGTAAACTGTTAGCTATTTCAGTTATTTTTACTGTAATGTATTGGTAAAAAGCCGTAAAACCATTTTTACAGTAACCAATTGTAGTTTCAGATAGTTTGACATTTCAACTAAACTTCAATTAATTAACCATTTCTGCCAGCTTTTCAAATATCTTACTGTCCAGTTTATCAACTAAGGTCACAGATTTCCATTATCTGCTGTTCAGTGTTGCTTTATTAACAATTTGTAAATTTCACCAGACACAGTAAACATGATTAAATAGAGACCATACCCCGTTTTTGTTGTAAACAAATAAACAAAATAGAGAATTTAATACCTTTCTTCAAAATCGAGGTTTCAAACTGTTGAACGTGAAATTTTTGTTCAACATTAAAATTTCTCTTTCTCCTAGGGTTTTTTTAATTTATCGATGTATCATAAATTCTAAATATTAAGTTGGAAAGGAAAAACAGGCTGAAGATTATTTTGTCTTCACATAAGGACTTTTGTTTTTTACAAAGAGCTTTAGTATTATATTAGCCTACTTCTATTCTAGTTTGGCCTACGCATAACTTAAAATAGCTGTAGTAATAAATCCGTTACTTTGTTTATTTATTTCCATAGACTGTACATACATACTGTACATGTTTATTTCTAATCATTTAAATTCGAATGACTTCCGCCGGAAAACGTCGTTGTGGATCCTGAGTCGACCCGGACAGTTTTGACCGCTGCACCAGTGAGCGTTCACGTCAACATAAGCCGTCTCTGCTTTGCTGTTCGGTAATGTTTCTGAAAAGTGGAGCTTTTTGGTTTTAATGTGAAACTTTCTGTTTGTGGCGGAGGGTGGCGTGATTATTCAGGGGTGGGATGAAGCAGTTAGGTGTTTTCACCGCGGATTTATTCGCCTGTTTGACTTTATGTTAAAACAGCTGAGGCGTTATTCTACTGTGACCATACTTCGTTGGCTTAGCTTCACCTGAAACCCTCTCAGTTGTTTTTATGTTTAAATATATTTACTCTGCGTGCCTGCAGTGCTGTCCGCTCACACACCAGTAATGTTAAGTGGTTAAGTGGGGGCCCTAGCTGGATGCCTCGTCCCATTACTGGTTATGCCTGTTTGGACAGTAAACTGGGAGTAAATGACTGACTCTTTCAGGATAGCACACTTATGGTTTCCATTCATTGAGTCAAGCAAGACGGGATCAAAAATAATGATTTCACAGTTCATTTTGAACGAATTCATGCAGCATTAAGACTCATGGGTCAGTTTATCTTGGCAGCACCATGGAGAGGCATCATCTACATTAACACACCGCGTTCTTTTTGTGATCTCAGGTGCTGATAATTTATAACTTATAAAACCAGCTGAGGTAAAGACGAGAAACAAAACAGGATCTGAAATTAAGCTAATTTGTTTGGTTCACTTTTTCGTTTAAATGATTTATAATGTGAGTTATGACTCATCTGTTCTTACCTTTTAATTTTCTAGGAACTTCTACCGGGCCTGCAGGATGGCTCAGACAGACACCAAGGTGCTGGTTCTGGGAACGCTGGCTGGAGTGGCCGGCATCAGCCTCGCTGTGGTGTGTTACAAGAGCTTAAAGTCTAAGCAAAGAGGCTCCTGGCCAGGGTTCTATCACAGCCACACTAATGGACAGGAGTCTGACATCATGTTGGTGGATGGTCCAGGTTTCCCAAGAGGACAGGCTGAAGTTCTGGAGCGCCTCGAGGCCCTGATTCAGTGTGTTTCTGAGCTGAAAGAAGAAATGAAATCACTGAAGACTGCTCTGCCAATGCTGCAGGACCATGTCAGGGAAGAATTGCGAGGCCGTAATGAGACGCGTCGAGTCAGCCCTCTGCACAAAGCCACACCACGAAGGAAAAGGCCTGCAGGGGCCTCCAGAGCAGAGGGACAGAGCTCAGAGGAAGGAGAGAGTGAGGGAGGGTAAGTCCTTTTAATTGTAAGACATTTGGATATTTGCTGACCAGTGACCAGCGTTATTTCTAAAATAGAGTCTGTACTAGAGCTCGACAGAAATGTTTTTTCTAAAGCAGATGCTGGTTTGTGCTGCCGATTTTGATGATATCTAGATGTTTCTGCCCTTTTTGCCAGCTAAAATGTCACTAGAGTGGATGCACAACATTTCTGAACCAGTTGCGTGTTCTGAACAGATTCTGAGCACTGAATTTAAAGAGCAAGTCACCCCCTACAAGAAACGTACTCCACTACCACTGCATGTTTGAAAAATACAACAAATGCTGTTGCCTGGCAGACCGAAAAGGCAGAGCCGCTAACAGATATACACAAACAGGCTCACAACGACATTGTGACATCATAATGTACCAGCTAACGTCATAGTAGGAATGTATGTAGTCAACCGGTTAATTGCCGTTAACGTTATAACCGGGTAAAATAGTTTTGCCCGGTTAACCGCATCGAGTCCTTCTGCTGCGTTGGGTGTAATATATTTTGTGCCTCTAGAGGGTGCAAGAGCACTGCTATCAAATGTTTACTGGACAACCGCAGAAGAAGACATGAGATTGTCACATGACCAAACAAGTGTGCTCAAACACAAGGCACTTAGCAAAGAGCCAGCGTTGGAGCTGTTTGTTCTTAGTTATTTCATTCTTGGAACACAACGGGGGTTGGTTTCCGGTTAACCGGCTATTAACCAATAAGGGCGTCAATAGCCGGTTAAAGAAATTTGAGAACATGCATCCCTACATCATAGTGTACCTCTTAGCCAATAGCGCTGGCAGATTTAAATTCAACTGCAGTGCAGAGTTTTTACCTGACAGCGGCACAACACTGACAGTTTTAGTCAGGATATTTAAATTTTAACTAAAAAGCACTAAAGTTCCAAATTATTGTCTACACCACTCATTTATATAGTTTATCAGCAAAAAAAGTTGATTTGGGTGTGAGTTGCTCTTTAACCAATTCTGGGATGTTACCTTTGTGCACAGAGTAAAGATCAAACATTTAACCAAAGTTAATAAAACTAATCAATAAACTGACCACGTATTCGTTTCTACAAACCAGATAAATAAAAACAAATAATTACACATCAGTGCTAACGATGACCTCCATGGTTTTGTTTACTGTTATATTGTTATAGAATAACATAGCAAAACAAATGCGTTATGTAGCTGTTGTATTAAAATTAGATTGTATTATTGTTTAATATTTCAGACTTTTGAGGCTTTATTTAATAAAGTTAAAGTCCCATAGTTATCACACACCGGTGAAATTCGTCTCTGCAACTGACCCATCCCCGTAGGGATCGGTGAGCTGCAGCTGGTGGCTGCACTCAGGAACTATTTGTTGGTTTAACCCCCCCCACCCCCCCCCACCCCCACCCCCCCAATCCAACCCTGCAGGGAGGCATTGGGTCTCTTTTTTTAAAGAGCAAGTCACCCCCTACCAGAGTATTACTCCACTCCCACTTCCTGTTTGAAAAATGCAACAAATGCTGTTGCCTAACAGACCGAGAGGGCGGAGCTGCTAACAAATACACACACACAGGCTCACAATGACATTGTGACATCATACAGTACCAGCTAACGTTCTAGGGTACCTCTTAGCCAATAGCGATGGCAGATTTAAATTCAAATGCAGTGCAGAGTTTTTACCTGACAACGGCACAACACTGACAGTTTTAGGCAGGATATTTAAATTTGAACTAAAATGCACTAAAGTGCAAAACTACTGACTACACGTGTCTGCAGCACGATTAGACACACATTTATACAGTTTATCAGAAAAAATAAGTTCATTTGTGGGTGACTTGCTCTTTAAAGTCTTTGGTATGACCAGACCAGGGTTTGAACTCCGATCTCCCAGTCCCAGGTCGGCCACACTAGCACTGAATAATGAATAAAACCCTGTTTGTGTCCTCTATGCGGCAGACTCCACCCTCTTTCCCAGACTGTGAGTTTGCAGATCCTGTTTAATTAATGAAAAGGTTCTGAAGTTATGTAACATTTTATTTTGTATCCTTTGTTACGTTCTAATACTGGCATAATGTTTACTTCCATAAAAGTGACGCATTAATCAACTGATTTTCTTTATTTAAAATGATTCACTTAACCCCTCCAGGACCTGGAGGGGTTAAGTGAATCATTTTAATGAGTCTGGAGTCCTGGTGAACAAACCAACTCATCAGCATCCGAACAGTTGGCAAGTTGCACATTATTTGTATTATTTCCACTTTTACCTGCTAATCTCTAAATTATTATGAGACATAAATAGATTTCACCCCTCCCTGTCCACCTGTTCGACCCGTTTTCTGGTTCTATTCTCCGAGTTTGGCAGAACGTTGGTTTGCCTGGGGAGGTGCAGAAAGCAGCAGACTCATCAAGGGCTGTCGGGCGTCCACCTTGAACTCACGCCAGCTTCAGATGTAATAAACAACGGATGTGTTTCTTTTTAGCACACCTGGTTTTTAAAGGCTTAAAGAAGCTCAGTGATTATTTATCCAAGGTCTTCCTGCAACCAGGCAGGACGGTGGGGTCGCTTGGGCAACGGCGTACAAATGAAAATGGTTTCAAATGTGAATAATGATCAGATATTTCATAAAGAGCAGAAATATTTATGGAGTTTTAAACTCAACTGACCGGAGGTTTGTTTGTGTTGGAGTTAAAGGCATCATAGTAGCTCCGAGCTGCAAAACTCTAGCCAGGACTGCCCGGCTTGTGAAAGAGACATATCGGTTGTCTAATAAATCACCCTGAGGAGGTTTTTATTATTATTATTATTGTTATTATTATTTAGCTAAATAAAATGCCTTATTGGGAGCTTTAACATACTTGATATCAAAGCCCTTAAAGAGCAAGTCACCCCCTATCAGAGTATTACTCCACTCCCACTTCCTGTTTGAAAAATGCAACAAATGCTGTTGCCTAGCAGACCGAGAGGGCGGAGCCGCTAACAAATACACACACACACACACACACACACACACACACACACACACACACACACACACACACACAAGCTCACAACGACATTGTGACATCATATGGTACCAGCTAACATTCTAGCCAATAGCGATGGCAAATTTAAATTCAAATGCAGTGCAGAGTTTTTACCTGACAACGGCACAACACTGACAGTTTTAGGCAGAAAATTAAAATTTGAGCTAAAATGCACTAAAGTGCAAAACTATTGACCTCATGTGTCTGCAGCACGATTAGACACGCATTTATACAGTTTATCAGAAAAATAAAGTTGATTTGGGGGTGACTAGCTTTTTAAAGATTTCGACATCTTGCAGTACTTTTGTGTCAATTACTTATTAAATGTGCACCAAATTTAAGAAATGCACTTTTAGTACAAAACTTAACTCGTGTGTAAATTTACAAATCATGTGGATGGTTTAAAATGAATAAACAGCACATCAGCGAAGCCCCGATGAAGGCAAAACATGTTGGCAAAGAAAAAAAACAAGCTCTGTTTACTCTGTGTTTGATGAAGAAGCAGAAAAAATCAAATTGGATAAGAAACACAGAACAAACTTAACATCAAGTTCAAATGAACGGCCCTAGACGAAGTCCGCTCCTCCTCTTGCTTTGAGGCTTGTGAAAATTAAAACTCTTTGAACAGGAAGTAGCTTTAAATCCCAAATCAAATTCCAATCTGTCCCTATTTCATCGTTATAGCGCCACCTGCTGCCTGCAAACACAATTCAACAGTTAGAAAGTGCAAAGCATCAGTTTTGAGATGAGAAAGCAGAAAGGACCCAAACTTTATCGGTTTCGTTTCAAATCTTGAGTGCAGCATTTGTTGATCCATCGTAATATATAATATATATTTGTACGTTAAATACATGCAAACGCGTGAAAGCTATTGAAAACTTTATTCTGCCTCATTTACATAATTTTCAGTCATGTCACCTGACCTGTTTAAGTCCAGAGGCTTCTGAAAACCAGCTTGAGGAGTCAAACAGTTTCAGGTCATGTAAGTTTACTGAAAGAGGAAGTGAGACAGTTCTTATTGTATGAGCCTCTTTTTTTATGACGTATAAGCATTTCAGGTCAGCTTGCCTCTGCTTATGTTACCGTCTCACATGTCTTATGCTAGAAAAGCAAATTGAAGCTTCTGGCAGGTGTAGTTCACCTTCACATGTCATGTTTCTGGGTATTGTGTTTTAAAAGAAATCACATCATGTACACACCTCTCATAATTAAAGGGCCTTTTCTGCCGCTCTTTCATTTGGGCGTGGGAGTTGGTGCAAACGGTGCAGTGTAGAAATTCCAATGCTCAGGGGAGTTTGTGCAGCGTTCCTGCTGATGGAGCCGGTTACCGTCCCTAATCCTCGTACTTCTGAGGAGCTCACCCTGTCTGCTCAGCTGGCTTGGAAGTGTTTTCAGCACAGCATCCCAGCAGGAGCTGAGGCACTAAGTGCTGGATTAAAGTCGGGTTAAACGTTTTGCTGAAACCCGTAGCTTCCAGATTAGCGAGATTACTGTGTTTGTTGCTTGGTAAATTTGCAAACATGGCTGCTCTGCATTTGTTTCGCTCTGGTGCATAAACTGAGACTAAAGACGTACTCACTTATGTAGTTTCTGTAAACGTAAACTAGCATAGCGGCACATTTCCAACAGGTGGCGTTGTGGAAGCAGGAACAGGGCAAGCGGCAGCATGGGTAAAGCGTGATTTTATTACCTTTCTGGTGGCAAAAACGTCTTCAGACTTAATGGTTTTTGTGAACATTTGTCTTGTTTTGCTTCTGATGCTTGGTAATAAAGTTGAAATGAACATTTTTAGTTAATCACATCACTTTTGTTCATTGTGTTTGCAGAACCCATTCAGCCGTGACCAGTGCTGATAAGATGGGTTAACCATGACCCCGGGGTCATGATGCACACAAGTTCTGCAGAAAACAGGAACGTACTGCTTTAGTTATTAGCTGGTGTGTTAAGATGCTGTTTATTCACTCGCTC